TCACCTTTGGCATGCAATACTGTAACGAGGATCCGAAAGGTGAACTGTTATTGAGTTCCTAAAGAAGAAATTGTGTGTAGGTGCGCGTGTCGTTTTATTTTGTATGTTCAATCCCTTGAAACGTGTGTTCCTTGCCTATATATAGGTGTGTTGGAGCGAAGAAGATATAATATAAATTTTCTGATGGGTTGGCTTAACATTAGTTTAGTTACAGAGACGCTTTGTTGATTTGTTTATTGTGGTTTGTTAGGTTTGTTGGTTACTTGATTGAAATATATGGCATATTCAGGCATGCATGATGTCATTATGTTTACATCTTTGTTCTGTTCATCGTGGGTAATTGGCATATATCTGCGGAGTCACTTAAAAATTGTCTAAATTTTGCAAGTAGTGAGAGTTTAAAGAATACATTTGTATCTATTTAGTTTAAAGTTTCCAGAATGACATTGGAAAAAAAAACTCTTTTAAGTTGGTTATTTATTTGAGTTGCATAAATGACATCTTCAAGTATGCATTACCATAATTTTATTTCTAACGAAGAATCATAACTTTTAAAACTAATAGATTTCAGTTATTTTTTTGGGGACTTTTTACTGTGTAGTTTACAGTTATTTAGACACAACCGACTGTGTTATATATAGATTTCCTGGNCCTTCGCCTCTCTTTAACTTGAAGGACGGTTCAGTCTGTTGTTGCTCACCTAATTCGGTTCTGGGATTCACACAACGTTAATAAGAACAGTGAGTTTATGGGAATTACGTTGTTACTCCTCGACGAACTGGTACGTGTTGTGTATAACATAGATTTGTTTTCTGACATTCATCAGTGAACTATTAAAGTTAGTTTTTTTCGTTACAGGATTCGGTTATTCACGTTTTCATCCCTGCGATTCGGGCGAATCATTACTGACCATCGTTGAAAGCTGGTTGTATTGTCAGGTTGGAGCGTTTTGAAGTTGCACGGGTTGCCCACATGTACAAGGTGAGGTCCACACAAACGCCCATGTTATCAAGTCTGACAGGTTCATGGTGAGGCGTTATGACCACCTCCACGTGCTAGCGAACACCAACCTAGAGCTACAAGGTTTGT